AGGGTGGAAACTAACCGTTTGATCATAAGCATCAATTCCTTCTGTGTCCAGCAGTAACAAGTTGTATTCTGTTCCATCAAGAGTTGTTCTCCTTAAAGGTGAACTCCACAACCAAATACCTTTTGTGCATGCCGATGAGTTGCAACCACTTGAAAACAGCTACTCCTGCCAAAAAGCTATTGGGCATACAACAGGCTCTTAGCTACATATTTTCGATAAAGTAAGAAGCGGCACTAAGTTACACATGATAATTTACATGGGAAAATATACAACTATAAGTTAATAATAATAAAGATAATTGTGATCTCGTTGCAATAGACCTAGTTAATTACATAAATCAATGGAGTTTCTAAAAGAACAATAGCCACTGTACTATAGCTTTGACTCATAATTTGGCTGTGATTGATGTATGAAAAAAACAAGAAACATTCTTTACATAGAGGATGACAAGTTCATTGCACAAGGAAAAGAAAATAAAGAAATTACAGAAGCAACACAAAGGAAACTGAACAATGCTGAATGGTCTCCCCTCTAACATATAATTCCTGCAACTTTCCAAAACATAAAAGTAGATAAATCAGGAGTTGATACTTGATTCACAAAAGGTTTCAGATTTCTGCTTCTCAAAATGGCAAATCAGAGTAGCCATCTTCCATCTGAGACTTAAACCCGTAAATCTAGGAACTATATGCTTCCATATATGGCGAACTCCAGTTGAAAGTTGAAATCCTCCAAAACATAGATTCTAATTTATCCATCATTTTATCATGATTCGTCTCTCTTTTGATCCTCAGAACAAATGTATTTTTTTTGACATCGAGTATAATCGATACCTTCCCAAAATTATCAAATACATGAAATTCTAAGACTATAGACAACCAATGATGATTTTCACATCCACAACAGAATCAGAGAGGAAAAGAAAAGATACATTACGAAATAAAGGATATCTTGTACGTGATTTCTACTACTTCAATTAGAAAAATAAAATGGAAAAGAGCTCACTGAACATTGTGTTTTACATTGATGTCCAGCTTGGTAAAACTAAAAAAATCATTGAAAATAAGAAGGGAGGCTTTAGTAAGTACGATACCTATATATCATCCATAAGTGTTCAGTACATCTAATACTTCATGTGTGGAATTCACTGGGGTAACTGTGCAGCAAGAAGACATAGAAGGTGAAAAATCTCAATGTAAAAGAGAGTAAAGAATAAAAAAAACAAATCAATATTTCTTCATCAGTGAATGTAACATTTGAAATGAAGCATTAACTTTCTTTGAAGCCGTTGAAGAAAAGAGACCTTGAATCAGGAATTCACAATCATACATTTATATGGCATCTTCCTTTTAAGTTTTATGAAATAGAGAGGCAATAATGAAAAAACACTCTATAAATCTGAAGAATGAGATTTTTGAAATGCGTACCTGAGTTAGTTGTTATTGAATCATGTCACCTCATGGCAAGTGTTACAAATGGAAAACGGGGAAAAAATCCTAATGACAGATTTTAATCTTGAAATTTCTCTACTCCCTTAGGAGAATACCACTACAACTGCGAGGTAGAGAGGCTCAATATTAGACCACTTAACATGTCATGATAAAAGACGACAAATATACTATATAATTAAGTAGTAATGTAGTATTATACCCAATCTAATACTTCACCAAGATGGAAAATATAACAGAGTGATGCAATGTAGGAAATAACAATAGTAAGGTACATAATTTTGCATTATACTATAGATTGTCATGATAATTGTAATCCTAATCAAACTTAAGCTTTATCCAATTTTGAATCGTCTTATGGAAAACGTCAAATGATCTGGCTGCAGAAATATTTCACTTAAACAGTTTTAAATCTTAGTTATAAGTTATATAAAGGAATCAACTATGAAAATCATAAGCCTAAAAACGTAAGATAAAATGAGGGGGTATGTTGAAGTAAAACGTAAACCTAAAGTGTAAACTGTAAAATGTAATCACCAAATTGCTAAGAAAATAGATCCAGCGACCTACACAAAAGTGAAGAAATAACGCACAATACTTCTTTTGCCTTTCACAGCGTCATAAAAAGATGTTAAAACAGTTGAAAAATTTTAAAAAATAGCATCAAACATACTAAAATGAGGAAAAATCATAGCAGAAGCAAGAGAAGAAGGAGAAGCTGACAACGCAGATTTTTCAAGTTTATATAGTACACTAACAACATCATTTAATAAAAATAATCCAAAAGAGAGAAGAACAAAAGCCCAAGTAAACTCAGCAAAACATATATGTTAAATGTTGGAACACTGAAGAAGAAACATATAGCAACCATTGAGTGAAATCTGGTGAAAAAAACAGAACAAACCGCGGCTCAAAATACAACACAAAAAAAGAATCCGCGAAAGGCTAAAATAGAATAGATATTCAACATCAAAATGAGGTGCGAGAAGTTAAATAACAAACAAACAGAGAAGATAAGCAAGAAAATTCACTGAACAGTGAAAAAAGTTAAGAGCAATAGTTGGTTTAACGTAAACGTAATGACTGGAAATTTTGATTACCTCATCATCACTTATTTGCACTTGTATAATCCGAAATATGAAAATTTGAAGCATTAAGAGGTAGTTCTTCTCTATCATTTCCTTCAGCTAGAACTATAAAAATAGTTACCCTTATAGGGAAAATTGTTGCTACAATGTTAGCATTTAGGTTAGTGAAAATCAACAATTTCAAATTTGAGTAATTGGACAGGAACAATTTGAATTGAAAGATGAAATTTAAAACTTCAAATGTTGAAGTGATATGATTACAATGTAACTTCTAGTTAGCTTTAAAAACAAATGAAGTAAAGGAATCCAAAATTTCACAACATCTAGCATAAGGATGCTTACTTGTTACACTTATTACTTTTAAAAGTATAATGACAATGCTTTTCGAATGATTTCGTCATAAACTACATTATATGCAGAATGACCATCTGTGTCCTGTGCAGTTGGTGGACGTATTAATATTTTTACATTGTTTGAACATTTTGCTCGAGATAAAGCAACATAAAGTTGTCCATGTGAAAAAACTGATTCACACAAATATATTCCAACAAAATCTAATGTTTGACCTTGAGCTTTGTTTATAGTCATTGAAAAACATAATATTATCGGAAATTGTATTCTTTTGAAGGAAACTGGAAGTTTCTCATCTTGTGATGCTACTAGTAATGGTATCTTTGGAATAAAGACATGTTTATCTTTAAAATCACCACTGCAAATAGTAGCACTAATAACATTTGACTTAAAATCATGACATATCAATCGTGTACCATTTCATAAACCTTCAGTAGGATTTAAGTTTCTTAATAATATAACTGGACAATTTTTTTTCAAAGTTAATCTATAAGGTGGTAAGTTAGCAGGATGTAAGGTATGCAAAAAATCATCAAATTGGCATTGATCATTTGGTTCTGTAGTTTCATCAATAGTCGTATATACTGTAGCATCATCGGGAAATCGATGTATAAGCATATCATTTATTTCATCAACAAAATCATTTTTTGTTGTCAAAATAATACGGGAAAACATAAAAGATGGATTACAATAAAATGTACGCAAATTAGGATAAGTGACGTTAAATAAAATATTTAAAGATTCTATTTCATCTGTAAAGGGAATGATAAAATTATTGGGAATTTCAATTTTGTTACAATTGTTAGTTTTTTCTTGTCCATTTCCAATTCTCATTAAATATACACAAAATCCTGGATCTTTTTTACCACGCATGTTTTCAGATAAGCACAATTTTTCAAGATGATTCCAAATACGAGAGTATAATAAACTTTGATTTATAAAGTCTTCTTTTTTTCCACTACGAACAACAGGAAGTGTTTGTCTAAAGTCTCCCCCCCAAAACTACTACTTTTCCACCAAACAATGCTTTTGTATTCATAAGATCTTTTAGAAGTGTATCAAGAGCTTCAATCATGTTTTTTTTTGCCATTGAGACTTCATCCCAAACAATTAGTTTTGAATCTCGAATTAGAATCGCTAACGAACTTTGTTTACTAATATTGCAAATGAAATTGTCATCGATGTCAACAGGAATTTTGAAACATGAATGAGCTGTTCATCCTCCCGGAAGTATTGAAGTTGCCACACCAGAACTTGCAGTTGCCAAAGCTATGAATTCTTTTGTTCTTACAGCAGCCAACAAAGCTCGATATAGAAATTTTTTTCCAGTTCCCCCAGGACCATCAATGAAAAAAGCTCCTGATTTATTAGAATATACTCTTTCAAGAATTATGTTATATGTTCTTTTTTGTTCAATATTTAATTTGCTTTGTAGAAGTATATCTTCTTCAGACACTATTATATTTCTTTCAAAATAAATTTCTTTAGCCTCATTAGTTGTTCTAGAAGAGCTAACATTTCCAAATATATCTTTGAATTCATTTATGTTATGTCCAATTGAAAGTAGAACTTCATTGATATGATTTAAAACTAAGAGTTGAATATCATTTTTTGTAACATTTGGAATTGTTTTAAAATCCTCTGACATAGATTCTTTGTATTTTTTCCAAAGATCTATTGGGTTACCAGGATTACAATAAACTAATAATGTTGCAAAATAGTCTTCTTAAACTATAAGGCATTTGATAGCTGACTGCTTTAGACATACAATCAATTAAGTTGCTATCAGAACGTAATAAGCCTCTTTTTCTGCAGCTTCCCTAAATGTTGTGTAGCATCTTTCATTCATTGTACGAAGATCTTCGTATGATGTTGGTCCTCTTACATTCATTAGAAGCAACCTAAGATAATATCTTTCTCCTTCGGTTGGATGACATGTGACAATATGCCCGATAGAGTCGTTATTTTCGACGCGACCACATTTTGTATGATGATGACCATACAAAGTGTTGGGGAAACTCTTTATACAGTAAATTCAGATTTATAGCATCGTTATTGATTTTGTTCATAAGAAAAAATTCTGTTAACATAGTTTTTTAATCATTGGATTGTTTATTATTTGATCCACAGTTTGGTTATTTTTGAAATAAACAAATTGTTGTCCATCAAGATGCAATTGCAACTGGCAAACACTTGGAGTCATTTCACTTATCGCAAAAGCAAGCAGACGCCATGCAGCCTCCGGTGGAGAAACCCATCTAGCAGATTGGTATTCTTTGATTTCATCTATTTCTATGTTAGTATCATTATTATTTACAGAAAATGCAATTTTATCATGTCCTTTGCAAATATATTTGTAAATGTATTTAACAGCCTTAATGTCAGAACATATTTCAACATTCATATGACAACCAAATTTCTTCAGTAAATACGGATTGTACGGAACAATCCAAGAATTATCAATGTTGTGTCCTCTAACTTTGATTGCTGTGATCATTTTTGGTCTTTTGTAAAGGGGATATGAATTCTTTCCTTTGGTTGTTTGTTCAGTAAGTTCTTTTGGATATTTGAATTTACATTTTCCTTCTTTTTGCATGCATGAATTTGAAGGATTTAAATATCCACAGGGACCATGAATCATGTGTTTGGTCACAAGTTTGTATAGATCATGATCAATATGGGGATCAGGTAGTTCAGCACATACAATTTTATCATATGCTTCTAGTGTTAAAAATTTATATCCATCCATAAGAATAATGTGAAAATGGGCATGGGGAAGACCCCTTTTTTGAAACTCAACTGTATACACAAAAGCTGCAACCTTTCAAATATGTTTCTTTTTTGAATATTAGTTTTAATTTCTTCTTCTTTTGCTCTGAATACTCTACTAACTAAATCAGGTCTATTTTGAACTTCTTCCGTTGGTTCTAAATGTTCTTGTATTTCAGGCCAAGAAAGTTTGCAAGTCATCGTTAAAAATATGTCGGGTTTTCCAAAATGTTGTACCAAAGCAATGGCATCCATATATCTTCGACGCATATCTCTTGGACCTCCATTGAAACTACCAGGAAGAAATTTTTGTCTCCCAATATTGGAAGCATCTCTTTGTCCTTGCCTTAATAAATCAATGATTCCTTGGAAGGCTTCAACTCTAAATAGATCTTGATTAAATAAGATAAAATCTAATCTTTGTGTCTCTAGTTTTATATATTGGTCAACTATGTATTGTTGAAATACCCTTCCAGAATGTAAAGTTTCATTTGGTTCTTCATATCTTATTTGAATTTTATAACAATAATATTCACGACAGGAAACAGTTTCTCTTTTTATCAATCCTTTTGATAAAACTTTAGATTCCATGTCAAGGACTCCATCAATAGAAGTGATGTTCATTATACTTGGTAGCTGCTCATATTCACAGTAAATTTGTCTGTTTGAATAATTGTATTTCTTTATTTTTTTAATACCACAATGCCAGCCATTTTGACCATAAGGAAACAACAGTGGATATTGCAATGGATCATAACATCCATAATAGTAATTTACCAATTGACTTCTGTTACTATGAGTGTAAATTCTAATATGTGGTGTGAAAATTTTATCATTTAATTGATCTTCAATCCAAATTGCCCCAACTTCGGATGCAGCTGGTAAGTTATATGTTCTCTGGTCTAAATTGGAACTTGAGTTTAGAGCAATATAAAATTCAGATAAATTTGGAAGAGCTGTTAGCGATCTTAAAAAAGTAGAATAAGGATTAACTTTTAGTATATCTATGAGCTTTGTAACAATTATCTCATTAAGATTATCTGATAATTCCATTCGGTTTGTTAGCTCATTTTCATTATCATAGAAATATAATTGTAAATTTTTTCCTTTTCCTCCTGAGGGTATCAAATCATCAATGAAGTGATACATTTGTCCTTGGACTTTAAATGTATAGATGCCACGATTTCTCCTTGCTAATTCTCTATCATAATGTACTCCAAGTGAAGTGAATGCAAACATATAATTGTAGGCTCTACTGTAAGTTCGAAAATGTTGGGATTCTTTGGAGTCACCTAAGAACAAATTTTGCAACTCAATAGGCATGTTATGAGAAGTTAGCCTAATTGATCCATTATTGTAACGACCTGTTTAGTCGTTTTGAGCAGCAGATTTTATTTCTGGAAAAACTGGCTAAGTCAACGGATCCCACGACGAACCGTCATGGGCACGACGGACCGTCGTGGGGGTCTCGTTCCAAAACACTTAGAATTGTGAAATTTGGGTAGTGAAATCGACTCTTTGAACTTCGTGACGACATGGCAGGACGGACCGTCGTGGGCACGACGGACCGTCACAGACCCTGTGATGAAATTGAGTCTCTAAACTCTGTGACGACTCAGCAGGACGGACCATCGCAAACACGATGGCCCGTCACAGACTGCGTAATCTCAGGCTGGGTCGGATTTCTGTTAAATGTTTTAAGGGGCGTTTTGGACTATTCCTGCTTATAATTATAAAGTTAGTGGTTGAATATTAATAACCCAATTTCTTGAGGGTTAAAGGAGATAACCTTAAATTAATTAATGGGTTAATTCATCATCTTTTATACTTAATTATATGTTAATTACGGTAAAAAAAAGAGGGTTTGAATAAGAAAAATAGAAAGAACAAGGAGAGGGAAAGAGAACGATCGAGAGAGAAGATA